CCTAATGTCGCTCTAGTACCTCTGTCCGGGAGGTTTTAGAGTTTGAGTTTCGCCAGTTGCAAGATGTTTGACTCAACCTAGTTCGATTTCAGCCGCTGTCTGGAGCACCATTCCAGCGGACAGCTGCTCTTGTCGGTAGCTTTCCGTGGCTTGTCCGATAAAACCAGGCGAAATCCGGGGTAGTACCATAACAAGTGGGTCACTTATCGGGCAGGATCTTTCCTTCCTCCTCCTGTTGTCCTCCAAAATCTTCCGGCAATCTTGTTACATACATCCTACCGTCCCTTGTTGCTAAGACGTCATTTACGAGCAGAAACAGAACAAGAAGGATTAAACGCACAAAATAAAAGCAAGTTTCGTGTTTAGAAAGTCGACGAAACTTAAAGATGAATAATATATTGGTGAAGAACCTGTCTGCCATTTGCGGCTGATGAACATTTTTAATTACTCTACTAGAAGTTTACTATGACGGCGTCAAAAATAATTCAATATAAGGGAACGTGACGTAATATGACATTTTTATTGTATTAAAACTAATGGAATAAAATAAAAGAGAACATTTCACTCGAAAAAGTTTCCTCATTCGCTCTTTTCGTGTTTCGTAAATAAATTGTCTGATTATTCACCTATAAGACAACTATTTGTATTCGACTTTGACCATGAAGATACATTATTAACGAACGTTCGTGAACATTTAGCAGAAACCGTTGAATCTCTGATTCCCCCTAATTGTCGTGTATTTGCTCGAGACTCATTACGTCAACCTCATTACGCCTCAGGTATCTCGTTACACGCCCGCGTGAGCCCACGCCGCTAAGCGCGCGACTTCCAGAGAAGTGGGCAGCGCGGGATACGGCATCCTCTTGGCTCCTCGGTGCCGCACAGGAAAGCACCTGCAAAGGGGGTGTTGCGCCGCCGAAATTGGGGACGGACCGGAGTTTAACAAGTTCAATCCCCGAACAATCCATATCGAATTCGGACCAACCGAGGTCTCGGTGGGTTATTTTGGAGTTCTCCCGTTTCCCCTACCTCTCGTTTCGCTGTTTGTCCACAATTATTCATGTCTGAAATATTGTCGTTCAAACGGACGAGCTCAGCACATCGTTGCTTCCTCTGGCACGGAGATTCCAGATATCCTGGATGCGAAGTCAGCGCGAAAGCCACTTCAGACAGTTCGTTTATAATGCTGGAATAACAATTTTTTTCTCCCAAATGCGTGTGTAGTTCCGGTTCGCCCCACTGTGCGGTGGTGGCGCGGCGGCCGCAGCGAGTCCTGTAAAACCTCCGCTGTATATACGACGCACCGTGCTCCATCTGCCGTGACTGAGGAATGGCCGTTCAGGGCGGGGGCGGGAAAGCGAAGAGAAAAAGCGGTGTAGAAGAGGTGATGAAGAGGAATGGACGAAGTGACAAGAGATGAAGAAGCGTTGAGAAGACATGTAACGGGAGTGAAAGAAGTTCAAAAAGGACATGAAAGAGGACTAAGCTACATGTTGAAGTCTGATAGAGACGATACGGAAGTGTAAAACAGTTATTTAGGAAATGAAGAGACATGAAGAAACATGAAAGAGGCAGTAACACGTGTTAAAACAATAGTTGAATAAATGTAAGAAACGCGCTAGGAAATTGGAAAAGCTGTAGATAAGGGTTCGAGGTAGCGAGTAAGAGTAGCGAAAAAAAAGAGCACAAATGAGGAAGAGAAATGGCGCTATCCAAGAGGGAATGATGAGAAACAAATGAAATAGGGAACTGCGCCTGAAATGCCATAGAAAGAAATAGATGAACGGAAGCGTAGCAATAGGTACAGAAGTATAATGGAAAAGACGAACATATAATGGAATGTGGAGGGTTGAAAGACGAAACGATCAAAGAAAATTTTTTAAAGGTAGGGAGAGAATTGGGCGTGGTGTGGGAAATGTGAAGAAGGGAATCGAAGAATCATGAGAGTAGCAGACGCGCGTAAATACCAGAGTTGAGACTTGAAGTAAATTAGGAAGGGACAGGGACACTGAAAGAGACTTGGAATACCTGAAAAATATGATAAACATTTGTTGAAGATGTCACGAAGATTGAAAAGAGACTTGAAAACCTAAAAGAACTACTTAAGACTTGAAATAGATCTGAAAACGATGCTTAGAATACATGAAAGAAACGCGGCTGATACGTGGAATATCTGAAAAAGATTATATAAATGCATGGAACAGGCTACGATTACTCGGAAGAAACTTGGAACACGTGAGACAAGCTTCCACGGGTCCGTGAATAGTCCTCAAAGCGTCAGGGATGTGATGCTTAGGAGAAGTGTAGGCAGCGTGGTTGAGCTGTGGAATACCTGAAAAAGATTATACAAATGCAAGGAAGTGATTACGAGTACTCGGAAGCACTTCTTACACAGTACTTGGAACTCCTGAGACAAGCTTCCATGAGTCCCTGAATAGTTCTGAAAGCGGCAAGGAAGTGGTACTTAGAAGTGTAGGCAGCGTGATTGAGCTGTGGAATACCTGAAAAAGATTATACAAATGCAAGGAAGAGAATACGTGTACAAGAAAGAAACTTTTAAAACCTGAGACGAGCGTCCAAGAGATCTGCAATAGTCCTGAAAGCGGCACGGAAGTGATGCTTAGAGCAAGTGTAGGAAACGTGGCAGAGACGTGAAAGAGACGTGCTCCAGGTGCGGCGGCAGGGGTGCGGGGCGAGAGAGGGGCGGGGGCGAGGGCGGGCGTCTTG